TTATTCTCTCTCTATTATTTATGTATTTTTTGTGGGGTTCATGCTGTCCGCTAAGACATAGGACACACACACACAGGCTTTCCTCCTCACCAACGACATTAAACACCGTGTGTACACCGGACGCGAGCGGCAAAATACAGTAGAACCATTATAATCAGTGACGCTGTGTACACTGGATGCGGCGCGGCGCGGCGCGACCATAGACTGTATAGGACGCGACGCGACAAAACCCGACATTAAACTGATGCCTTGTTCTATTTATGACGTACTGACACAAAGTTAAAATGATTTGCAACGGTCGCTTTGTCGCGTCCAGTGTAGAGCTGTTGCGGCGCGACGCACAACTGTAGCGTCCGGTATAACTTAGACACATGAAGCCGAGAGCAAGATATGCCTTGTCATATTTTCTGCATTTAGCTTTTGAATGACCAGCACCTGCCTGGCTCTGTGCGACTTCAACTATGGCTTTTCTCTTCCCTTTCACAAACCGATCCATCTCCCATTCTAATTTACGTCCTTTGGCTGTTTACTGTTTTATTGGGGCTGGAGACAAGAGGTCCCTCTCTCCAAAAATGTGTTACTGCAAGGTCCATTACCTCTAGACTAAAAGGGCTAGCATGTAACAAGTGGGGGCTCGTCCTTTCAAGTGAAAGTTTACCGTGGTGTAATTGTAAGTATCTGCTCATTTCTATCTTGTTCTGTTAGGATGTTTTCTTTTTGGTGAAGGAGAAGGCCTCTGTGGTAGTGAGAGTTATGGAATTTGATTTAATTTCATTTACTCTTTCTCCTACCATAGAGGTTTTTGAACGTTGCAGGAAGGCAGATTTGTTTTTAATTGCAGATTTCTTTAATATTGAGGTTTCAAGGCAGGCTACCAAACAAGTTATTAAAGATGACTTGCGAGAAAAGCTAGTCGAGGTAGGGATTTTACCAGATTACTCTGTTGTCAGTGCTGAGGAACAACCTGGATTCACAGCAGAAGCTGTGACAGGTGGGGTTCTTCCTGGGCTGGCAACTGAGTCTCTGGGTGAGTCAATGTTAGCTGTCAAGTTGAAGGAGTTAGACCTCCTAATAAAAAAACAGGAGTGTGAAGGGCAGAAGATTAGGCTTCGTGCTATAGAAGCTCAAGCAGATAGGGATATTAAGATGCGTGAGTTAGACTTACGTGCTTGGGAATTAAATCGAAAGCCAGTTCCTATGCCTCGTTCTAGACTTCCCTCTGCTATATCTTCTGTCACTTCACCTGCTGCTGTTTTACACCAAGGTACTGATAATGCAGCTACTGAGCCAGCTTTTGATGTTGGTAAGTACCTTAAACTCGTACCCCCATTTAGAGAAGTGGAAGTAGATTCGTATTTCATTGCCTTTGAACGGGTTGCTACGAAATTACGGTGGCCAAAAGATGTGTGGGCTCTTTTGTTGCAGTGCAGTCTTTCTGGTAAAGCGCAAGAGGTTTGTTCCGCCTTACCAATAGATCAGTCCCTTGACTATGATGTAGTAAAATCTGCCGTTCTGAGAGCATTCGAGTTGGTGCCTGAGGCATTCTGTCAAAAATTTAGATCACTAATGCCTAACAATAAAGCACCAGGACCCGATGGCTTCCCTGCTGAGTTCTATAAACACTTCTGGTCCTTCTGGTCCACATTATTCATCAGAGCAATTACAGAAATAAAAGAAAACTTAAGATTACCAGTGCACATGATGCACATGAATATTTCACTCATCCCCAAACCTAATAAAGATCCAACCCTTCCGTCAAACTACCGTCCTATATCTCTCATCAACGTAGACATCAAAATAATCAGTAAAGTTCTTGCACATAGAATTGAAAAAATTATGCCATTCATAATCCACCCAGATCAAACCGGTTTCATCAAAGGTAGGCAGGGATCCAACAACACACGCAGACTATACGATTTAATCCATTATTCATCACTACAACAGGAAAACACCATTATAGTCACTTTAGATGCAGAAAAAGCTTTCGACAGAGTCAACTGGAATTTTGTATTCACCACATTACAAAAATTTGGCTTTGGGGAGTCGTTTATTAATTGGATCAAGATTTTATACACAACACCTTCTGCCACAGTCACCACCAATGGATTAACATCACAAAGCTTCACACTGCACAGGGGGACTAGGCAAGGATGCCCACTCTCCCCTTCTTTATTCACCATCTTCATTGAACCCTTAGCAGCAGCCATCCGCCAGAACCCACTCATCAGAGGAATCCACACACCACAAACACAACATAAGATTAGTTTATATGCTGATGACATTTTACTCTTTTTGCAAAATCCTCAATCATCTCTGCAAGAAATAACTAAAACCATTGATTCATACTCTACAATCTCAGATTACGCAATAAATTGGAATAAATCCTCGATTCTTCCACTACATCAAACCAAATGGTATGTGGCAGCCCAGATATCACCCATTCCTCTATGCACAGGTCACATCACCTATTTAGGCGTTAAGGTTTCCTCCAGGCTGTCAGAGCTGACTGGACTCAACTTCACTCCTTTACTGAAAACATTAGAAGACGACCTTCACCGCTGGCTCAATTTACCACTCTCCATCCAGGGCAGAATAGCTATAATCAAAATGACAGTACTCCCAAAAATAAACTACTTATTCTCAATGATCCCAACCCAACCTTCTCTCACTTGGTTCAAATCTTTAGACTCCATCATCACCCGATTCTACTGGAAAAATAAACCACCACGGATAAAATTAAGCACTTTACAAAAACCCAAATCTTTAGGAGGCTTAGAAGCCCCACATTTTTACCATTACTCACTAGCAAACCAACTTCAATACATATATAAATGGACTCACCCCACTCAGTCAGACATCATATGGCTAGATATAGAACAATCACTCTGCGAAAACTTGCACATATCAGACATCCCATTTCTCAGTCAGTCCATTAAACACCACCCATGCTTCAAAGCCTTGACAATAGCTTCGGCTCAGCTTCAGCCTGGTGGAAATATCACCAAATCACAAACTCCAATCAGGCTCCATCTAACCTCACCCCGCTTTGGAACAACCCTGACTTCACAAGCAACAAAAAAACTCTCAATTTCCATAAATGGGCAGAAAAGGGCATCACACATATTAACCACATTTTTCAGTCTAACAACCTGGTTTCATTTTCCTACTTAGCCCGGGAGTACGGTATCGGGAGCAATCAATTCTTAAACTATTTGCAACTCAAATCAGTTGTTTCATCTAAAATCAACACCAGAACCATCAATCTTCACCTTCCTTCTGCAGTAGCAGATTTAGTTAATATATCCTCCCCGAAAAAAATTACTTTCCAAAATATTCAAAATTATAACAAATTCAAATAAAATCATAACTTTACCAACAATCAAATGGGAAGAAGACCTTTCTATTGCTCCTGATACTGACTTCTGGACTCAGATTTGTAAAAATATTTATTCCATGACTAAAAACGCCAACCTTCAGCTCATACAGTATAAGACTCTTCACAGAACACACTACACTGGGGAAAGGCTGTCTAAAATGGGATTCACATCAGAAACTTGCTCGCACTGCTCACAAAAAAAATGTCCGGACACATATATCCATGCCACATGGCACTGCCCACCCATTAAACACTTTTGGAAAGACGTCACTGAATCCCTATCCCGCCTCCTGGGCTGCCACATCCCATTATCCCCCTTACTCTGTCTACTGGGTGATCTATCAACTCTCAATCAGGAAATAATAAACAAAAGGATACTCCTCGTAGCTTTAGCCATCGCCAAGAAAACTATCTTCTTGAACTGGAAATCCCGAAACACTATTCACATAACGCATTGGAAAAATTTGCTCACAGATTACATTTCCCTAGAACATTTCTCACCTCCTTACAACTATACTTCGGAACCACAACACTCCAGATCAGACCTCATTCAACTTTTACAAATCTGACACACTCATCCTAATAATTTATTTATTCACACAATAATACTATGAGTGTATTCAATATTGTTTTCAATATTATTATTATTATTATCATTATTAATATCATAGAAACATTGAGCAGTAATAAGATGATGTTGATGGGATGATATTTTATATAAGGACGGTAATGGTTTAATGAAGATCATAACACTAAATATACAGTATATACCTAAAATATATAAATATAACTAAATCAAATCTGCACCCAACATACTGTATACCACACATGTTTTTAATGCACCGCATCCTGATTTTAATGCACCACACGCTTCTTTTAATGCACCACATCAGCTTAGGCATACATACATATACATATAGTAATCTTACCGTGAATTGGAAAGGAAAAAAAACAAAAAACAAAACATTGACACAGAAGCTAGAATAGGTGTGGTATGTGTTGGGTATGTGTCATTATTACATTATTATTATTACGATTGTTATTACATTATTATTATTATTATCATTACTTTTATTATTATTGAGATTACTGTTGCCGTCATCACAATGTATTATCATCACCATCTTTAGTATTATTATTATTATTATTATTATTATGCATGCTAGTACTACTTGAATACTACTACTATTATTGTCAGATGGTCATCACTGTTTATTTTCATTGCTGTTATTATCATTGCTGTTCTATTGCTGTTTTTGTGTTTTGTGTTCACCGTATGTTGTATGTTTTGCACTCTTAATAAAAAAATAAAAAAAATAAATAAATAAATAAACAACAAAGCGCAGATGTACGTATGGTGTAAGAGATTAATTCATAAAACCGTGTATAGACGGCTTTACTGATTATAAGGGGATTTTTGAAGAGTGCTTAAACTAGACATTGGTAATGTTGTTGTTTTAGTGTTTATGCAATCAGAAAGTCATTTTACTTGTTGTTTGTTGATTTTAAATATAAAACCTGGTGAAACAATTTATGTGTCTGCACTTTTTGAAGATTCCCAGCACACTTTAACAGCACCATGATAATACTGATAATGATTGTGGTCAGTGTAATGTGATAAATCCGGTTGCATCTCTATTGCAGTTACCGGGCAGTGATATAGCCAGCGGCAGCGATGTGCTCTCCGACATCATTCCCAGCGTGCCCAGCTCACCCTGCCTCGCGGCCAAACGGAAAAACAAACCGCACCGGAACCTGGACGAGCTGCCCTGGAGCGCCATGACCAACGACGAGCAGGTCTCAAACCCTCACTCCTGGCAGCGTACGCAGTGACACTAGCACAGCTTGATGTGATACTGAAATATATGATGACACATGTTTAACTGGACACCGTTAGGAAAGAAAGGAAGCCGTGTCACTGCGTTTGCTTGTGTTATTCTGTTTCTTTGCAGTCAAGTGTCTTTTAGTGTCTGTGTGAGCTCACTTTGGTGATTCTCATTTGTCAGGTGGAGTATATTGAGTATTTGAGTCGAAAAGTGAGCACAGAGATGGGACTTCGGGAGCAGCTGGACATCATAAAAATAATCGACCCGAGCGCACAGATTCTGCCGACGGACAGCGAGTTCATCATCGAGCTGAACTGCCTCACCGATGAAAAGCTCAAGCAGGTGATTAATTACACTCAACACCTCCTGCAAACAAACAGCACTCCTCCATCCACAGCACTGCCAGGGCTGATCATCAGCACTCTGTTTGCAATATGTTACACAACTTTTTATAATCTAAACATATTCTAATCTAAAGGGGTCATCGGATGCTAAATTCACTTTTACATGTTGTTTGAACTGAAACGTGTGTTGGCAGTGTGTGTACACAATCCACCCTATAATGATAAAAATCCACACAGTGCTGTTTTCTTCTTCTTTTTTTTAAATCCCCCAAAATAATAACCCCTTTCTCATATCAAGCCGTTCTCAGATTCTTGATGTGTGTCACAATGAATGCGGCTAAAGTAAACAGTCTCAGAGAACTGCTTCACCCCACGGAAGAGAGGGGCGGGGTCAGCAGAGCTCATTAGCATTTAAAGAGACATGCACCGAAACGGCTCGCTGTGAACAGAGCTGATTTTGACAGGGTAAAAATGGTGTTGTTTTACACTACCATTGAGAAATTGTACCCAAAGTATGTTATAGACTTTTCATTAAGACCCTAAAGAGTCATATCAGCTTGTGTAAAATGGGCATCTGATGACCACAAGGCATAACACTCTGGTTAACAGAAAAGAACTGGGTTCACACACTACGAGTCTTTCAGATCACTCTGAACACAAAACAAACTCCCAAAGAAACATGGAATATCAAACACGTGGAATCAGGGTCTGTGTGCATCGTGTGATTTTCTGTGATACTAGTGTTGACTCGTCCAGACTGAATCTGTGTGAAGGCGGTGTGTTGTCCAGAGATCAGACTGATGTGGTGTCTCCTGCAGGTGCGGAGCTACATCCGCCAAAAGTTGTCTTCCGGAAAATGTTGTTGTCCATTTAAATGAGCAGAAAGTTGCAATCCTTTCCGATGCCGCGGTTTTGGCCGATGAGTTCGTGTTGACTCATCGGAATGTGTTCCCCCCCGCACGTCGTGTTAATGTATCCCCTTCTGTTTGTGAAGTATCTGATAGGGAAGCGACACGTGTTTTCTCACGCACTGGCAAAGGTGAGGCCCAGTCGAGTGTGCGTCTCGTACACCCCACATTTGAGGAAAGCCACACAACCGCTTTGTCCTATCAGCCTTTTCTCCTGACTGGCTCAGTGTCTCACTCAGTTGATTCTGAGAGTAAACCTGTCACCATTTTGAGAGACACTGGGTCAGTTCAGTTATTTATTTTAGAGGAGTTATTGCCCCGGCCTACCGAGACTTACTCCGGTACAGACGTGCTTATACGTGGAATTGGAATGCAGTGTATAAACATTCCTCTTCACAATGTCTACTTGAAGTCAGAACTCATAACAGGTACTGTAAAACTTGGTGTACGTTCTCAGCTACCGGTCGAGGGGGTGGGCGTTATTCTGGGGAATGACCTCGCAGGGGGGCGAAGTTTTTCCCCGACCAATTGTGGTCCATAACCCTAGCGTGTGTGAGCAACATGACCTAGCACATCAATTTCCTGCAGCTTTCCCTGCATGCGTTGTGATTCGTGCTCAATCGTCACACTTGGGTGTCACAAAAACCTTTCACCGAGTTTCACGGTACTTTTATTGTCCCGGATTACTTTTGAACGACTCCTCTAAGTCAGGACACGAATACATTCTAAGAATCATGTGTACCGCCACACGTTTCCCAGAAGCGATTCCTTTACGCTCGATTAAAGCCAAAGTCGTCATTAAGGAGTTGGTGAAGTTCTGCACTACCTTTGGTCTGCCCCGTGTTGTGCAAACTGACCAAGGGTCGAATTTTACATCCAAGGCATTCACACAGACCCTTGCTGAGTTAGGGGTCAAACACCAGCTCTCCAGCGCATATCATCCTGAGTCGCAGGGCGCGCTTGAGAGATTTCATCAAACCCTTAAATCAATGTTGCGCTCCTATTGCGTAGGTCATGGGAAGGACTGGGCTGAGGGTCTTCCGTACCTTATGTTTGCTGTCCGTGAAGCAGAGCAAGAGAGTTTTGGGTTTAGTCCGGCTGATCTTGTTTTCGGTCACACTGTGCGTGGCCCGTTGAAGTTGCTTAGTGAACAATTATTAACTAAAGACTCCCCACCTGTGACCGTTCTTGACTACGTCAACACTGTTCGTGAGCGACTGTATAAGGCCTGCGAACTGGCTAGAGAACACTTGATTACAGCTCAGTCAAGAATGAAGACCCGCTACGATAAGAGAAGCGTGAATCGTAGTTTTCAACCTGGTGATAATGTTCTTGTTCTCTTACCTGATCCAGGTTCTGTGTTTCGATCTAAATTTTCGGGTCCATATGAAGTCAAAGAAAAGCTCAGGGACACAAATTATGTCATACATACTCCTGATCGACATCGTAAGACCCGTATATGTCACATAAATATGTTGAAGCAGTTTATTGTGCGGGGTGAGAAGCCTATTTCCTTCTCTGTTTCACCAGTTGCAGTGGCTACTGTTAGTGAAATGCCCGAAGATGAGCCAGTTGAAGAAGTTATACAAGTTGCAGCTAAAAAGCTTCAAAACTCTGCCGTATTGAGTGATTTGCAGAGCTTTCTTGCACACCTGACAACAGAACAGAGTGAGCAAATTATTAAATTGGTTCATGAATTTCCTTCACTCTTTTCGGATGTGCCTGGTAGAACGACCATGTTGACACATGACATTGATGTAGGTGAATCTCATCCAGTCAAGCAACATCCTTATAGAGTAAACCCCAGGAAGCGTGACATAATGAGATCTGAGGTTGAGTATATGCTGCAGCATGGTATAGCAGTGCCTAGTCAGAGTCCATGGAGTTCGCCTTGTTTATTAGTGCCTAAACCCGACAGCTCCTATCGATTCTGTACCGACTACCATAAGATTAACTCCTTAACGAAACCTGACTCCTTTCCTCTGCCTCGGTTAGAAGATTGTGTTGACTGAGTAGGCTCTGCTAGATATGTCACCAAATTAGACCTGTTAAAGGGTTATTGGCAAGTGCCCCTAACTCCAAGTGCATCTGAGATCTCTGCGTTTGTCACTTCTGAACATTTCCTACAATATGAGGTTCTAGCTTTTGGCATGAGAAATGCACCTGCCATCTTCCAGCACCTTATGCAGGTGGTCCGAATTGTGATGCGTACTTAGATGATGTAATCATCTATTCAAAAATCTGGGAAGAGCACGTCAAGACTTTGGAGTTGGTATTCAGTCGCCTGGCTGCTGCCTCTTTAACCTTGAATCTTGCTAAATGTGAGATCGGTAAAGCTGTGGTAACATATCTGGGGAAACAAGTTGGCCAGGGTTTTGTTAAGTCAGCTGACGCTAAGGTTGCTGCCATACTTGAGTTTCCTACACCCCGTAACAAGCATGATTTACGCCGGTTTTTAGGTATGACTGGGTACTACCGGGGATTTTGTTGTAACTTCTCCACTATTGTGTCTCCTCTTACTGACCTTCTCAGTAC